GGGAAGAGAAAAGGAAGGATTAATAGCATGAAGTGCTGCCATGGATTTTCCAGGGAGACTGTGGGATCTCTCTCGTTAGGGTTTTATGAACAGGTTCGACAGGCATCTGTGGGGAATGAAGTAAGTACAGTTTATCCTTTCTCCAGGCAAAGGAGGGGCCAACAGAACATCTGGGGGGCTCTTTGAATCCTGCTCTCTGTGATGCTGTACTCTGCAAGCCGAGGATGGAAAAACACTTTTCCAACAACCCTCAAGCCCTGACACAGTGTTAAGAACTGTGCTTGGAAAAGGAATGCTGGGCACTGGAACCTTGAAAGGTTCTTTACCAGATACTGCTGTTCTCCAGCTCAGTGAACATCATTTCATGCATTGCTCGTGAAACCTCCAAACACCACCACTGCTGACAGATTTAAATTTTCCTACTCTGAATTCCCTGGTAGCTACAATTTTTCTTTTCTTTTTCCTTTTTCCTTGCAAAGGAAATTCCTTTATTCTCTTTAAGGATATACAGAGAGACAAGCACATATTTCAAAATCATGTCTCAGCGCTGCCCTGATCTGTCACCCACCAGACATCACCCTGTAAATCTCCCCAAACAATTCTGTTACAGGCAGGTAATGCTCTTTATAAACACTGATTTTTAATGACTGCTGTAAGTAGTTACAGCTTGAACTGAGTGGATATACACTGTCACTTCACATTTAAGATATCAATCCTAATTTTATTTATGTACACACACGCATGTACATCTAAGGGAAAATCCTCTCTGGGGAGAAAGAGGGATTATAACAACTGTGCCCAACATAGCAAGCGAGGAGATGCACCCAGGAATGCACGGAGCTGCATCCCATATAGTTTGTTTGGTTAAGTAACTCCTTAACAACTTCCTAGTAGCCTACATAGTTGAAGCACTATGAGACACATCCTGAGCTGCAGAGAACTGAGGGATGCCAGTGCATACCAGTGAACCACCAGCGCTTTCACAACTTCATCCTGTGTTTCAACAGTTCTCTGGGCACCTGAATTCAAAACCATCTTTGGTTTAACTGCAGAATATGTTTTAAAGGAAGAAAATTATGTTTTGTTTGTAACGTTTCACTGCACTGTGAATATTGCCAAATTCTTATACTGAAGACGGGGGAAAACCCTCCCAGTTCCCCTTCTGTACACCACTAATTCATTTCTGTACTTGTTATCATTGCACCTCCCTTCCCCTCTATCACAGCTCTCCACTGAGGAGCCTACTTGGAGAACTTCTACATTGCATTTTTTCCATGCACTGTTACATTTATTTCCCAGGCTCTGCCAACCAGTGGGTTTAAAGAAATGATGTGCCATCTCATATTTCAAAGGTAGAGCCATGCAGGAACCCATCCCACTTTCCATGTTCATCATCGACACCAAAGATGCCAAACACAAATAGCTTTCAAACCTGCAAACCTTTGGCAAATAGTTTTCTGCCTGGGAATATTAAGAGACAATAGGCATCCTGGGGACTTTTTCACATAGTATCCTCTTTCTATTAAGAGTTTCATCTGGACCTTGCCAACTAAAAGTCTTTTATTTCTTTCAACTATGGAGCTGCTGCTGGCTAACTTTTTTAAAAAATTAATTCCTACTTTGAAGTTTAAAATCAGCTTTTAAAAATCATGAATATGGTTTTTTTATTAATGGTAATAAGCAAACTACTCATGTGCAGAAATATGTCCTACAATGCAGATGTGGGCATGTAAATCTGCAAGGGAATGTGCACTACCTCTTTATTGCAACTTACAACATAGCTGCTGTAATTAAAATAATTACTAGTTCTTCCATAAAATTATCTGAATCCGTACTGGTTCCTTCTGTATATAAAAAATAGCCAGTGACCTAATGACCACCTTCAAAGTGTTTGATGAAATACAGAAAATTTAAAGGTAGCATCACCACAATAACTTCCTTGAGAAAAGACCCTGTGACCAGGGAGGAAAAAAGTTTCCTATAGTTAAAACAACTGTTTTTCAGCTGTGCTGTCTATTGAAAATGTTCTGTTTCCAGACATAGATTAATTATGTTAGAATTAATCTGAGGCAAATACTATCTTCAAAATAGTGCTTGTAGAGCTATAACAGTAACAAGGACAATTTGGTTTAATTTCTCCTTAAACCATTAATTTCACACAGTCAGTATGAAAATCTACAGTCTAAGTGATTTTGCTTTATGTAGTCAATGTTCCCATATGAGCCGCAGACAGGAAACATTTACAAATCCTTCAGGACATCTTTTTATAATACTCTCACTTTTTGTTCATTACTACACTTAGGTTATGCATTTAGTTTTGCTTTAAGCCATATTTCTTTCACAGAGGCTCAGGAGCTGTGGGGGAAAGCTCCATGCCAGAAGCAGAGTCAAGTGAAAAGCAGATATTCCTCCAGCTCCCCGCTGCAAGCAGTTCTAAACACACAGACCCTGCATCTCTGCACAGGGGAGCAGGGATGGGTCAGTGCCATGGAATCAGCCAGAGCACCAGGGAACCCCACTGACTGTCCACACAAGACACACCCACTCCTACCCACAGCTGCTTTGAGGGCAGTCATCGCATTTGCAGGTTTTCCACCCCAACACAGGTAGAAATGGGGGCTTTTAAGACAGTAAGACAGTGACCATTTGAAACGTGCAATGCCAAACACAGCATGCTCCTTCCCCAGCCTTCCCTGAACCCTGGCACCACGGCTTCCCCCATAGACTATGCCCTGAACAAGCCAAAGTGTGCTCTGCCCGTGACAGACCGCAGAAAGTCAGCACGACAGGCTGCCTTAACGAGGAGGAAAAGAGACAGGGACAGGAAGGATCCTCTCGTTTGCTGCCCCTTTTATGGTGGAATTGAGACGCCTCAGTGTCTCTGTGTTCCCAGGCTAACTGCAAAGTGAGCAATGATTATCACTGCTGCGATGGGGCTGTGTTTGGAAGGTACTTAGGTGCCTAAGGATGCAGACAGGCACCTACTGCTATTGTAGCTCTTCACCTAATTAGCAGATTTAGCTGCAAACTCCAGCCTTGGGCAGCAGTGTTTGCTAGCTGTGCTGTCCATGAAATCACAGCACTATCATTACAGCTGTCCTTCTGAGCTCTGTGTGCTCACATGGAACCTCAGGTCAATGAGAGGAGAAGGACAATATTCCAAAACAGCAGGGAACAGGCTTAGAGTCAATACATATGAACGATTTGCACCAAAATACATAACACAATTGGAATTATGCCAAGACAGGATATTAAATACCCTAATTTAGTTAGTTTAGTTGCCTGGCCTTCGATCTATTAACCACATTCTACTTCTGTAACATTATAGTTTCTCCTTTCATTCAGAACTTCTAGTTCAGAATGCTCCAGCCTAGGATAAGCAAAGATCTACATTTCTATCATTCTCAGCTTTAACATTTGTTATTTCATCTTTGTATATTGTGTCTTTATCTGGAGTTAAAAAAATTTTATTAAGTGCATCAGGTTGCACACAACAAAGTATATTTATACAGCTACGAAATTCTCTGTTAACAAATTGGGTGCTATTTCGCATGAAATGGGTTAGAAACACTTGCAAAACAGCTCCCAGCACCACTATTGCATGGAGAGGTTGTCGACGTGGCTAGGAATTCTCAAATAACTACCTTAAATAAACTTAGAAACATTAACATTTCAAACTTCCCCAATCAATATGGAATACTAGAAAGCCAGGGCCGTGCACATTCACAAATTGTATCAGACATATATGTATGTCACTTCCAAAATAAAAAATGGATAGCAAGTGTTTCCCACCTAGGTTTTCTTCACATCTTCTATAGAATTTAGTTGTGCAGTGTATCCAAGGTAGAAGCACTGGGACTGAATGCCAGCTGTGCCTGTTCTGTGGCAGAGGTATCAGCTCTGACTCTGCTCTCCCAGCTGACGAGGCAGAAGTGAACTGGCCTCAGGGTGCAGCTCTCTCACAGAGCTGTCCCCATCTGCCTTCTGCAGGACAAGCTCACAGCACAGGTCTCTGGGCTTCAAACTCTGATCCCTGTTTTATTTATTGTGCACCTTTGGATAAGCAAACAAGTTCAGTGAGAGATACTGAGACTTACTTTTTTCTTTCTGCACCTTTTAAGCCTTATGGATGTTTAGCTTTTCAAACCCATTCCATGACCCACGTGCACTCTGGCTCATGGGTACAGATACACACAGACACACACTCTCCTTTTTCCTGGGGAAACAACGGCCACAGCCTCCAGCCTCAGCTCTGCTGGCTGCATCCAGCACTGCCATGAGACACAAATCTCCTGCACACCACCTGCACCTGGGCTCACAATGAGAAACAACCAGCTCCACATGCTCTGGGTCACTTGCACACGCATTTAGCTGACCATATTTTGTTCCCAGCAGACACAAAATCCAGCTGCACTAGTCACCTGCTTGGCATGACCCTTCTCACATCACCTGCAAAGCAGCAGAGCTCAGCTGAGTTTTCTGAACAGGCCACAGTCCTGACCAAAGCCAGCCTGTACAAAGACAGTGCTACTCCTTCTGACTGGAGTCACTCCAATAATAGCAGGGATGTTCTTTGTAGGATCAAGTGAAGTGACATACAGAGAGAAGTCTTCCTGGCTCTGAGACAGCAGAACACTCAAAGACAGAGCATCTTGATTTACTGCTAGATTAGTCTGTGAACTGACAGTGCTGACACAGCCAAAAAAATTAAAAATCATCTTTCACAGGAGCAACCAGCATGTGGCAGAGAATCACCTCTAAAAAATGAAGCACAGGCCAGACTAAGTCCATGCAATCTGCTCTAGAGCTGTCAGATTTTTTCTTTCTGCTTCATGATTTACAACATCACAAACTGTGCAGCAGACACAGTAACAGCAGAGTCTGATGTTAAATGATTTTTCCGACTCCCCTTATCTCCCCTAGTACTGAAAAGGCCATATCTGTCAGTCATGCAGTACTTTTCCCTCCCCCAGAATCTCCAGAAACCAGTCTGAACATACCCTCTGAAGCGGGGGAACAGCGTGGAGGCCATCAGTGCCCAGCTCCTTTAACAATTCTCCAGTGAAACACTTCTGCTACAGCCTCCACGGTGCAGAGGAAGGGATGGGGACTTTTGGATTTGAAGAACTTCCTCCTCTATTTGCTGTTTCATCATTAAGTTTTTGCGTGCAGCCACCTAAACTGGGGCCAAGGCAGTGCATTCATCCAGAGTCTTGGGCAGGTGAACGAACGACCGCAGACACCAGGAGACCCCTGCAGTTTTGTGGTTCTGTACGGAAAAAAACTCACTGTTTTATGTCGTCTCCAAATAATACTGAATCTGGGACGGAGTTTGCAAGCTGCCCTGCCTTGCCCGTGAGCACACTTTAGAAGGAAGGTGCAGGAAGATGTACCGCACAGCTCGGGCTGTTGAGTTCTCCTCGACGCCCCCTCAGGGAAGATGGCGCTGGCCCCTGAGGGGAAGGTGGCAGAGGTGTCTGGGGGCCTGAGGCGCTGCAGGGGCTGGAAGGGCCATGTCGGCAGGGCTGTAACGCCTCCAGAGGTTCCTGCGTTACCCTTGCAAAGCGTGGGAAAGCAGCACGTGAAGCTGATGGAACGACAAGAGGAGCAGCACCGAGGTGATGCCACATGGGTGGGTATGTCCTTCAAACAGCGACCAGCCCTGCCAGAGCTCCGGGAAATCTGTTCCTGTCCACCAACACTCTGCAGGCCTCTCACATGCACAAGGCCACAATACAATACATATTGAACTGAACACACTCAAAGACCTTTAACCAAACTCTTGAGAGATGCTAATCGAAGTCACTCAGTGCAGAAACATGCTAAAAAGCAGGGGAAAATGGACATAAACCATTGTTAACGGGCTACCGCAAGACCTCACCTTCGCACTGTGAGGAAGGTGCACCCTATTTGGTGGTCATCACACACAGAGCTTTATCAAAGGTTACAGCCAAATATGAGTGGAAAAAACATAACTAGCTGGAACTTCCTAACCACCAGGGACAATGATTTCAAAACAGCACGCAAGAAGTCACCCACAAATAAGAACTCTTGGTTAGAAATTCTGGTAATCCAAAAGACTGTACTGAAGGGTAAAGGAGCAGATGCTGGTGTTTCTCAGTGCTCTTTCTCAACAGAGGTCAGCTATCTCCTTTGTACTTGTGCTGAGGAAGGCCCTTTGGGAAGTTTTCACAACCACAAGGCAAGGCAGGTAATGCACTTGCTGTAATCACAAACACAACCTTTGGTTTTGATATCTATTATTTTAAGGCAGGCAGAGTTTTTGTGACTAGAATATGCACCCTACTTCATGACTTCAATCTGAGTCTACAACTTCATTCACAATAAAACCTATGAATTTATGCTACAGAAGATTTCAGTACATCTTCTGCCATTACACAACATAGTTCCTTTGATTTTTATTTTAAAATTAGCTCCTGCTTTTCCAGGAGTTAGTCTGGTATGCTTTGCAGCACCACAGTTGGGAAGATGTTATCACAGATGTTGCCATTTTTTACTGATTAAGTATCACAGGAGTTTATACAATACATATTCTGAGACAGTAGTCACAGATCTCTATCATTTATCTAGAAAAATCTTTTTATTCTATTCACTTAGGTCTCTATCAGGATACAGTGGTTTTGGTAATTGCTGAATTCTTTTCTATGTGGTTCCCTGGTCTGCCAAGGTACAGCTCATGGTAACTTTTCCACAGGTGAGACAAAAATGTCAAAATATGAAGTCCATGGCACCAGACTGAACAAAGAACATCAAGGAGGCCTCTCTCACATTCCTTCTCCTCCAACAATGAAGCAGCAGCTTTTGCCCTTTGCTAACTCCCTCAACTAGCCCAGGACTCACCACCACTGGCCCCGGGTGAGCACATGGCTCTGGGTTTCAGCTGACAGACAGAACAAAAGGCTTGGAGTTCACTTGAGACGGAAAAAAATAGGGAGCTAATTTTGATAAGAGAATGAGTTTAAGGGTTTCAGGAGCAGGGAAAGAATGTAAGCAAAGAGACAGGAATGAGACAAGGAAACGATTATGAATGTGCTGAAAAAGAAAATATAAAGTTCCTCAGGAAGGGGAAGGTTATACAAGAGTGAAAGGGGAGGGGGAGGAAGCAAGGGAACACACCGGCAAAACCCACTGGCAAAGACCTCTGAAAAAGCACAGCAAAGGAAAAATGGGTTAAGTTTACAGCTTTCCTACTTAGATGAACATTCTATTCCCTCTATTATTAATTTTTTTAACTTTTCTCACTGGCTGCAAGAAAATGAATGTTCAAGTTCTTTTAGCCTGCCAGTATGACAGAGTAGGCAGGGGAGAATCCCTCAATAAGCAACAGGATCGACATCACAGCTACTGTCGTAGTAACTTACAACCAGATCTCATCAACTGCCTGAAAAACTCCACCAGATGCATTTACCAGGCCTTTCTTCAGACTTGTTAAAGGGAAAACAAATGAAAACTAGCACCTGTCCTAGAAAGGCAGACCCTACAAACAGCAGCAGCAGCCCAGTAACGTGTGTGGGGCTGAGTAAATCATCAGAGACTGAGAAAAAGCAGATCATCTTCAATTTACCAGTTCACTGGTCTCTAGGTGTCAACACTCCTGATGTGTTCATTAAGCCAACAACCAGTCCTGCAATCTCTTAGCTACATCCCTTCAAATTTATTGTGCTGAAATGTGCAATTAATTGTGTGTTGGTGTTACATTATTTGTTCTGCAGTCACAAAAGCTAATCCATTTCTGTCTGCTAGTTACCTAGCCTGGGAATCTTTGTATATGTTGATCATCTAATGCTAAGCAAGTGAGTTATTGACATTTAGAGGCATCACAAAAGACTCTTGTAACTCAAAACTCTGTTCCTGTAGCTACTTTAAAACAGCTGACCTTAATGCAAGCAATTGCATGAGTCCAAAAGAAAACATAGTAGGAGAGGGATAGCTGGAAATTTCAACCATCTTTTAACCTTCTCACAATTCCTGCCATTACCATAACTCTTCAGGAAATACACCATCAAAATCAGGCAATTGCTAACAGATGTGTGGTGTATTTTCAGCCTTTGTCAGTACTCTGGTTACTGAGCCAGAATCCCAAATAGTCCAAACCCCCTGAGCTAGGGGGGGCACAGCACTCCCTGATTTACTCAGCTCAAGTAATAAAAAGCCACATACTATCAACTTCATTATCCATGGGATCCCCTATGCATCAAGGCAGCACCCATCCTGCCTTTGGAAGCGGTGCCTGGTGTTCCCTCGGGATAAGAACACCACCATCCCCCTGCTGATGGAGTCAGTGCCAGATCCCCTCAGCACTGCCAGGAGCCCTCCCAGCCAGCACAGACCCACAGCCCAGCATGGACGGGACTCCAAACTCAGCCATGGCTGCCAGGACAGTTTGGAATGCAACCAAGGCTGATCACACGGCCCTGAGCCGGCTGTCCAACCACCCAGAATTCCCTCCCCACGGAAACCGCGCACTCCTGAGGGTGGAAGGGCCAAACCTGCGCCTGATCTCACAGGCACACACATGGAGATTTCAAGGACAAGGAAAACCTGCATTTTGCACTGCTGTTATTCTTTCAGCTGGGGAAAATGCCTAAGTCTAAACCAGGAAAAATAGGAGAATACAGAGGAAAAGAGAAAACATTGGTTTGGGATTATATAACATAAGTAAAAGCAATTTCACTGAGATTAACATCCTCTTAAAGCGTCCAAGTGGAAGCATAACCCAGAGCCAGAACCTAAACATGACCATTACAGGAACATTAAAAATATTTTGTCTTTTTCATTTACTTCAATAATGAAGAATAAAAAAAAAGTATATGAGGGTCTGAAAAACAACCTCTGCATATATTCTAGGATGATAATCAAATGTGTTTGGTTTGTTGTTCAGAAACAATTTTAGAAAGGGATACTGATGGAAAAAATCAACTAGGAGAAAAACATGACTAAAAAAGTTCTGAGAAAAATGTAGTTTGTGAAAAAGATGCTTTATGTCTTCTTTACAAGGCAAATGAACCACAAGAAAGACAGAATTTTTATATTACATTAAAATTTATATTACACTGCATGAGAAATAGTTCTGTTAAATGAGGCATTAAGAAAAGGAAAAAAAAGAGATAAAACTTCATTGCCACTTGGTAAAGAATTCCTAGCCAGTGCACCCATCTGCCACGGGAGGGAAAATAATCCCACACAAATAAAACAAGGAAAATATGCTTGCAAAGCTATCCTAAATGTGGGGGTCTGGGACTATGAACATTTGAAGTTTTATGAACGTTTAACCTAAACATAGTTTCTTGCTATGCTTTACCAAGTAAGGCTAAATATTTAATGAGCATTTGTCACACAAAATCATATATTAAGTCTACCTGAACATCAGAGCAAACGATACAAGGTTTAAGGTATTTTAATCTCTAAATCCAATTCTTAATATTGATCTTATACAAGAAGAGCTTAACAGTTTACACTAAAATGATACTACATCTGAATGAAACCCTGGGTAAACATTTGTACTATTATAAGTCATAAAAAATACATGCCCTGTATTAACTTTGTACAAACTACTGAAATATTTGCAGGATGAGTTCTTTTCGGTGTAAACCACTGAAATGCAGCAGATTAATTCCTCCCTTTTGGATGCTATACCGTACAGCACAGGAGTTGTGGAATACATTTTCACCCTCCTAAAACTCGCTAAGAATCTCTCATTGCCACTTGCAGTCATTCTCCAGCACAGATAATTAGGAAGTGCTAGCTTACATCTCACCTCTTGTTAATTAAAGAAAATAAATGTTATTTCCTAGGCAGGTCAACATGAAAGAAATGAAGACCCCAAAGTTCTTAGCTATTACAGTTTAACCTGCCAAGCAAACTCTGTAATGGCAGAAAAACCCTTCTGATATCCATTTGATACTCCTTAACAAACTAAGACATCTCTGTGTCATGAATAAAGCATGGGAATGCTAATGGAACCAGGATCCACATGGCTCCAGGGTATCAGCACAACTCCACTCTGAGCTGCTACTGCTCCACAAGCTGGATACATTTGAATGGAAATCTTTGAGGGAGCTGGTGGCTGAATCCTTGCAGCCATGAGACACCTCTGCAAACTAATCCCCACAACTGGCTTTTCATGAGGAGTCCTGGGAAAGGAAGAGGATCTGAACTACCTGTGTGTGGGAATTAACTGTTACTGCCCTGTATTTCCCTGTAGGAAATACAGGGCAGTTTCTTCTAGAAGAAGAAAAACTTCAATTAAAAATAAATAATTAAATAATGTGATTTTGGCATGCATTAGGCTGTTCTTCATCCGAACTGCAGGTAAAACATGTCACCATCTCCTCACACCGTATTTGCAGCATGAAAAAGACATAATAAATCACTTAAGATGTGATATAGGGAAAAGTGAAAGGGCAATACAGACAAAGAGTCAATAT